GTTGCCCGGCAGTGAGGACCAGTTTGTTTGGATCAAAAAATTTGGCATTGCTTCCTCTGATTTTTTTCATGCATTCCGCCAGCGCCTGCAAGAATAATAATTTTTAATTTTTGCTTCGAGTTTTATATGGAAATGGAATACATTTATAATATTACCATAATTATTAAGTCAAATGGATGGAAAATGAATGTTACATTCTTGAAAGCAGGAAGGCCGTGATAATCCTCAAAGAGAGCTACTTCTTTAAATACAGATACATTGTCTTTCATCAGCACTGCATCCAGGTTCCCTTGGAGCCATGATTCAACAAGGTCAAGTGAAAGCTGCAAGAAACGTCGTCGTTTGCATTAGATAGATGGTATAAGTGCTTAATTATTTGATGAGAAGTTACCTAAAGGATGTTCAGTCCTTAAGAATTTGAATCATTAGCGGAGATAAAGAGACCTGAGCAGGCGCAAGCCCCCAATACTTTTGGAAAAAAGAAAAAAAGTCAATTATGTTCAGTAACTTATGTTTTTAGTATTTTTATTTTTATTTATTTCATAGTATTTTGAATATTTTCCTTTTTAATTGTTGAAGATATTACATTTGGTGATGATAAAAAAGTGAGGAAAGTAAAGATAATATAAAAATAAGGAAAAATAAAGATTAATTAAATAAAAAATGTTAATTACCATATTTTCACACAATGTATGTTCATTAATATCCCTTTTTTTTTTAGTATTCTTTTACTCAATTTATGTTATTGCTATCTTTCAATTGATGACATTTGTACATCATTAACTATGAGAACAATATATTTTCTTTAAAAAATTTATTTTATTAATTTTTCATTTTGTTGACTTCTTTCATTGATACACAATTACACTTCTAAGTAAAAATGTCTTTTTGACCCCTTAAAAAACTTTTTTGGCTCCACCACTAACAACTTGAATTTTTATGCCGAAAATCTTAAATTTTAATTTTAATTTTGAGATGAATGTAAAAGGGTTTGAAAATGGTAGAGTTATCCCCTATATTAATAACCCATCATCTATGTACCACAAAAAAAAAAAAATTATTTGACTAGAATATGACAAGGATGACCATTTCTCTTGTTAACATGTTTTTGTTACCAGAAAAAAAAAAAAAAAAAAAAAAAAAAAAGAGGAAAGAAAACTAGTTGAATATCCAACTTAATTTTTTCACGTAGAGCTCATGCTATAAAATTATTTTTCCAAAGAGAAAAAAAAAATGGTGAAAAACTCAAACCTGATTTTCAGCAAGGCCCATCTGAATGATACCAAATGGATTTTCAAATTTATGATAAGGTTCTCTTCAACATTCATTTAATCCCATGAAGTATGAAGAGTCTTCCCCATGAGAGTTTGAGCTAGCTCTGTTGGACAGCATTCTCATATGCCCACCCACCTATCAAGTCAGAGCAACAGTCAAATTGGAGATAAAGATGGCTAAACTTTTTGGTGATTACGCTTAGGCAATGGGGGATGGTACGTCGGAAAGGTGTCTGTGTGTGCCTTTATATGGGAGGATTAAAGTCGGTAAACTACAATGACTTGCGCCCCAATCTGGGTGAGTAAGATATGAGGTTTAATTCAAAGGATAAGTTTCTCTACATATAGTGCATAAACATGGTTAACAAGTATAGTAAAAGACTTAATGTCCCTGAACTTATTGGAAAGGGGCAAGTATCATCCCTTGTCATAACGCCGTCAATACACCGTTAAAATTCTCCAAATTTTAATGGAGGTATACCATTAGCTTGTCCCTTAACTTTCAGTTCTTGGGCACTTTGATCATAAACTTCATATTTATTCAATTTGGTCCCTAATGTCAACCTTTTTAATTACAATTTAGTTCCTAAACTTTTGAAAGAGATGCAATTAAATCTCAAAATCTGCATTTCAGTTTTTTTCTCAAATAATAAAAATTATGTAACATTCAATAAAATCATATTTAAGTAGTCAACTCGTCCAAATATCAATAAAATCAAATTTAAAATAATAAACTAAATATAAAAAGGGTGTTTATTTTACAGTCTAAATTGTAAAACATTAACCATTAAATGAGGAAAATGCCCCCAATATCAAAGGATTGAATCTCTATTCAATTGTTAATGTTATATAGTTTAGTACAATCTAATATATTTTGGACTGCACAACACTTTTTTCATATATAAAACTCATACAATTAAAGTGTAAATCAAATTTTTGATACCCACTTGTCCCAAAAATGTTTTTGATACTCAATTTGAAATCCAATAAAATGCTACAACTAAAGTGATGAGTTGTGGAGAATGTGAATACAATTTATGGGTGTTGTGTAAATGTGGTCATGTGAACATCATAAACTAATAACCTTGGGTAATGTTTTAATGGTTATGAGTGTAGGACAAGAAATGAAGGCAAGCATATCCTATTTGTCATTTTTTTATCATAACGTTGTTTCTTTTTTCTTTTTTTTCTTGATGTGAGTTATGTATATGCAACTAGGTAAATGTTCTTTTTTTATTTTTAAGGATATCAAATTAGGCATTACAGATATGATTTTTTATTTTGAATAGATGAATTTTATATATTTTAGTTTACTCTTTTAGCCTTAATTTTATTAATATTTTGGATAAGTTGAAAGTGATTTTATTATATTGTATAGGATTTTTATTATTTATCTAAAAAAGACTAGAATGCATGAAATTAGAAATTTTGAGAATTATGTGAAACTCGTTCACAAGTTTAGGATTAAATTGCGATAAGAAAAGTTAAAATCAGGGACCAAATTAATAAATTTGAAGTTTGAAGATCAAATTGCATAAGAACTAAAAGGTGAGGGACCAATAGTGAAATTTTACCATTAAATTCAAAGCATTTTAACGAATGTATTGACGGTGTTATAATATTAGTCAATAAAGGGATGATCTTGGCTCTTTTTCCAAAGTTCAAAGACTTGTTTTAAAGTAAAAGAATGACAATGGCTCTTTATGTAAAGTTAAAAAAATTTGAGCAGAATGAATGCCCCGCTCCGGCCCAGTGGCCTTGGGCCTTGAGTTAGGGTTGTTCACCTCTGTGGGTTGCACGTTTGAGTCCCACGAACCCCTTTCCTTCCTCCCCCAATTATTAGCTTGTAAATAATTAAAAATTGATCAAAAAAAAAAAATTTGAGCAGCATTAATTCTATAGTAAAATTTTCTTTAGATTTAAAATAATAGTTTGCCTAAAGATTAAGAATCTATTTTTTTTATTTTATAATAAATTAGATCCATTTATATATGTGTAAATTTTATTTTTTTTAATCCAATGAATTGGATAAATTAATGGTGTCGTCATTGCAACTAATCAACGACTAATAACAAGTATGTTTTCATCCAAAAAATAATAGGAATAAGAAGTATGTTAGGGATAGCCATAGTTTGGTTCAAAATTCAAAAGCCCAAACAATTGAACCAATTTCAATTTTTTTTGGTTTGTTTAAATGGTTATTTGATTTCAAATTGAATTTTTTTTTTACTTCAAATTTTAGTTCAGTTAGGGTTTTTTTGCTGTAAAATCGTATAAAACTGTTTCCTCAAAAATCCTCTAGTGGCTTCACACGTGTGAAATCTGATGCGGACGTGCCACTTACTTTGCTGAAAGTAAGAAAGGAGGACTTTCCCAACGACCCTCTCCTTCCTCACGGTCGACCTCTTCGCAGATGGCGGGAAGAACGTTGGATTAAAATGAAATTTGCGCCTTCAGACGATTTGCAAGAGGGACGGATACCTTCCTGCAGAATGGGTTACGAAATCTGCCTTGAACAACTCCAAGGACTTAAACACTACCGTGACTTAAAATTAACAAATCCTAATTATTCTAAATTACTTGCAATTTAAAATAAACTTATGAGAAAGAAATGTTCCCAAATTAAATTAAACATGCTTATGGTAAAATTAAAAGTGCAATATATTGACAGATTCGGAAATTAAACTGCTGCAGATCTGGAAACTTAAACCTAATTAGCACTGAAATTAAATGTGAACAGTGAATAAATAGCGTGAACAGTTAATAAATTGAAGAAACTTGAAATTGGAAAGAAGCATGAAGGCCACATAAATAATCATTGAAGCAATGCTACTCAACATAAACATTAAATTAATTTCAAATGAAAAGAAAACAATACCTTGCATAAACTTGAAGGATTGAAGTTCATTGCATGAAGGAAAATTGTTTTAACTGAATATAGGAATAAATTTGTCTACTAGAATGAGGAAAAACAATCTAATTCTAATGGAATCTGTGTTGAAATATGAAATCTGTGCTGAAAAACCGAAATCTGGAAGCATGTGCAGAGAAAATCAAAGTATGAAAAGTTGCAGTTGTTTGAGTAGGGCTAGCCGTGTGTTCCTTCTGTGTCGAAGTTCCCTTTTTGTTCCTCTTGTGCCGGCAGTTGCTCAATCATAGGTAGTTTGTTGGAGTAGTGGGATACCTCACCTTTTGACCCAGTCTAATCCCCTTCCAGATTTCGCCACCTGGACTTTATCAGATAAAATCTCCTTTTTAAATGTGATCCTCCCTATCTTTCCAACTGGCATTATCTCTTTCTGTTTCAAAAAGATAATTACCCCATAAAACATTATCTTTACCTCTTCTATCTTGCCAACTCATGTGCTGATCTGTCATGGGGCCCAGAATCCGAATCTGACATGGCTCAAACTCCTTCAGCCAATAACAATTTTACACGTGGCATTAATTTAAAATTTTGCAATTTATGATGTAAACAAAAACAAAAACAGCTTCCAATTTAACTGAATTAGTAAAAAAAATTGAATTATAAAAAAATCAGAATTAAACTAAGTATTTTTAATAAAAAAATCAAAATTTAATTCAAACTTTTAATAAAATTCTAAATTTTGGTTAAAATCAAACAAAACTAAAAAAATTTCAGATAATCAAACCAAATTTCTGAATTATAATTAAGTTTGGATTCAATCTCGAGGAAGATAGCCAAAAAATGTTGGTTAATCAAAATTTCTTCCTCTTCTGTCACCAAACCAAATCGAACTTATGCCAAGTGCTATGTATGTACTCCTTTAGTCCTAAAGTAATGGAGTTATTTTATTTTATTTTTTATTTAGGATTTGAATACAATTTCTATTTTTATCCATTGTGTACTTAAAAAAGAAATAAAAAAGGAGATTTTTTAGTGATATAATGAATAATGAAAATTAAAAGATAATAATAAAGTTAAAGTAAAAAAATATATTTATCCACTAAAACAAATTTCAAATAAAAGAAGTCTACTATTATTCTATAGAGAATTTTAATGGAACAAATTTTAAGTAAAAAAAAAAGTCTATTATTATTTTTTTTTATATAAAAGGTATAATTGGATTAATAATTAAAAAACAATTACAGTATAGAGTATACCATGCCATATAAGCTATACAAAAGAGATAAATAAGTTAGGTAAGACCTATAACACTAATATAGAGAGTTTGGTGCTCCATACAAATAGAACAATTAAAAACTGGGAACCTCTAAAATACTAGTATATGTTATAGGGGCATCAATAGAGTTATGTGATAACATAGAAAGATTACATTGGAGCTTATAGTCGCTGCTAGTAATCACACATATTTTGCCATCCAAACCTAGCACGGGAGATCAGGGGACTTGGCGATACGGTGTCTCTCGGCACCACAATGCTTTGTCCAAGCAAAAAATGCCTAGTTTTGTTTCATGTTCAAGTGGCCGGTAAAGGTAAAACCAGTGCAAAAACATACACTTCCTTAGAAGACCAACAACACTAGAACCAAAATCACCCACCGCATCCTTATCCTTTTGTATTTGATTATCATATCGAAAATTGGAGTACACTAGGTTCTCTGATGTAGATCGAAGGATGCCGCTGCCTTGCCAAAAATTGGAGTGCACTAGGTTCTCTAAATGCAACCCTTGCTAGGATCCCATCCGAAATTGAAAATATGTCGAAGCAAGATTTTGATCCGGTGAATAAAAGAAACCCAAACCAACTAGCGAGATCATGTCCCTCGATATTTAGTCATAACCTTCAAAAATTGATAGTAGATGTAAATCAAAAGATGCCGTTGCGTTGTGGTCCCTTGGGCTGAAGTTTCCAAAGCAAGACAGTCGACTAAAAGGAAGGAAGAAATCAAGAGGAGGAAGGGAAGGGAAGAAGATAGTAGAGAAAGAAGAAACTCCTTGCCGGCGAGAAACCTTTGGGAGAAACCTGTAGCTGCCACCTTCAACCCCAAGCAGAGTACGAGCGAAAAAACCTAATTGCTTTTGTGTTAAAAAAAAAAAAAAAAAAGTCGATTATTTGAGACAAAGGGAGTAGTATGATCTGACTCTTAATTCTTCCAAATTGAATCTTCAT